CCTGCATGAATAAACTTTCTGAATCCTTTATCATCTGCAACTGAAAATAGTTGTGGATGATTACTATACCTTTCTAATGTGACGTTGTTGTCCCTGGCTCTCTTTCTCTGCCTCTCCCTCCCGCTCTGTTCTTGTGCTACTGTGAGTGTAACTACCGCCCCTTCCCCCTCTTCCCAGCGCAAAGCACAAGGCTCGTGTGCAGATTAAAGCAGAAAAAAGTGCGAGAGAGAGAGAGAGAAAGCAAAAAAACCAAAACCCACGGCTGCCAATAAGGAGCCTGCTGGCGTTGTTCACTTCAAAGAGTCGGCTCTAAGAGCCATTTCGTTCGTGACCAACACATCACTAGTTTAAATATCCAGAGTTCCATTGCACTTTGTATTAAAAATGAAACTAAATTAGTTTTTTTCTACACCACGTATCTTGTAAATGTTTCTTTTACAGCTACAGTATTGTGTACTTTGTACTATGGCATGTTATGTAGTATCTTGGACCAGGTGCTGTCAGGCTATGTGGTGATTCAAAATGTTTTATTGAAAAGCGCAGCTTTTTACTTGGGTTAAGTACACCAATTTCAGGGATTAAGTGGAGCCAAGCCGTAGAAGCTATAGGTAATCTTCCTGCACATATGCATGACATTCAGTATTGTTCTCTGCTGAGTTACCTGGAGGACAGGGACCGCAGTGAAAAGAGCCCATGGTGTTCAAGCACTGAACCATTGGAGTAGTGGAGCAGCCGCCATTATTGGTCAAACATTCATCCACATCCTGACAGCTATAACCATTTCCTTGCCAGCCTAAGACATGTCAGAGAAAATGAGAGGAAAAATCTTAAATCTATTTATATGCAGCCATCTCAACAACTCATTAGCAAACTGGGATAGCACAAGATGCAAAATGCTATTTAACTTTACAAGTTTTAAAGCAAATCTTGGAACATCATTTCTAATTACTCGTAAAAATCTCATAAAAAATACATTTTACTGATAATAGCACATAATAAACATATTAAATGTTTAACTGAGACATTTTACTACTTCATG